TTTTGAAGCTGAACTTTTGGCAATTTTTCTAGCACTACAAAAACTAACTTTGGACGCCCACACTGCAATAATAATTACAGACTCCCTGTCCGTATGTACGTCACTGACAGATTCATCTCAATCAGATGCCTTAAGGACATTCCTTACGCTGATTCCTCCACAGCTTAAGCTCTTAAAATTATTATGGGTACCTGGACATTGTGGGTTAGAGTTAAATGAAATGGCGGAATCTTTAGCTTGATTGGCATTAAATGGCCCAATACTTTCTGTGCTTCCGGTGCTGCCCAGTATAACGGCTATAAGATATCTAAAATTTGCACTCAGGGCTGATGCCATAGAATCAGTAACACCATGCACTGAATTTAGGCATTTGAAATATCGATGGAAATCCGGTTGGTGTCATACTAGACAACTGGAAGTCATGCTAACAAGACTGCGATGTCGTGTGGCCCCTTTAAATCTATATTCACACAGGGCTGGTCTAGGAATATCTCCCCTATGCAGCTTTTGTACATTTCAGAAATCAATAGACCATTATCTTTTGTCATGTCGCCGTTACAGTCTATTAAGAAAACGTCTCATTGCCATCCCATTTGCTAACTTTGGGCTGCCCTTCACCATTGAGAATATACTCTCCTTTGGTGCTTCGGTTCTGGGCTACAGCCACAGCAATGCCTTTAATGCCGTTTGCAGTTATCTTCGTGAAACAAAACGAATGCGCCTCTGAATTACAGTTTGCATATTTGTTATTATAATATTATTAGGCAAATTCTAAACATCAATTTTAATCGTGTTCAAAATTACTGCAATTTCAATATGAGATATATATTATTCTGTCTGGTCGAAATGGCAAAAAATATCGCACTCTTTCTGTATTCACGTGTGCTTTATCCTCCTCCGGTTAGGATTAGGTATCATTCGAAAGGCTTTAAATTTTATATCCTATATTCTTGGCCACTCCCCCTGAGTGGGCAAGAGCCATAGTGGAGGTATCATCATCATCATACGCAGTCACCTAAATGGCTTTCGTTTACAACAGAGCCGTTTTGAACGAGAGGTCTGCCGCGTGACGTAGATTGAAAATAATCGTCACCATGTTATGGAATGTGCTCAATCCATGCCTAAGCACTCGGTACAGATGTTAAAGAGGTCGGTACATACTCTATATCACACTCTAGAACATAGGAAAGCTGCAACAAGCGGCTCCCAATGGGCGTTTGCAGCCATTTCGTTCCTGGAACACTGTGATGTTTAGTGGGATTTGCATAATTTCTGTGGTACGTACGCGCTATAAGAGTTTTACATCAGCCCTGTTATGATAGAGGTTTACCTACAGGCATAGATGGAAAGAGAAATACACAAACTAAAAAAACAGATGAAGGTACGAGTGAGAATTCAACCCGGGATGTCTGCGGGGCGAGCAGGGATTCTACGACACAGCCCCGCGGATGCTCGTAAATACAGAAATAGCTTCCTCTGCTTGGAAGTGCTAAGAAAGTTACGTTCATGCTTTACACACACACGTGTTCTGTATACAGGCTTCACAATACATGTAATATCGACGTAATATTGCGTCGTACAAGTGTGCGTTGCCATCGGGCGTCAGATGATGTAATTATTATAACGGCTTTGTAATTTAGAGCCGGCCACCCTTTAAAAAAGGCACCGTCGTTACTGCGCGTATTTCCTTAAGACCACGTAGTGGGTGCACACCAAGTTCTAAACAATTTCAGGCGCACAATTGCTGGTGGTATAAAGCATGCTACCCATTACACAGAATGCAGCCATATAAGAAAGCTTCATTAGCCCAAGACACTTTCAACTTTATCGACTACAATCTATAGTAATCCTCAATTTAAACTTCTCAAGTCACATCATACAATTAAAAGTATGCACGCAGTGGTAGAAGTATACGCACTATAGGGACAGGGCATTGCTATCGGGTTCAACTCTTAAAAGCAAAACTTAAGGATCTCCCAATTCGTTCTTAAGACTCTCGGCTGTTTGCCTAACTAACCGAAAATTAAACAGATCATGCCTCTTACACTCAGATTTCTTCCTGTCGGGCGTGCCCCGCGCTATAGCCCAAGATTTATCCAGAAATATTGTTAACTAACGCGTGTTCATTATGCCCAGATATGGCCTACTTAGAACATTTGCTGCAGTGCAGACCAACGTTACGCGGCGAAGTTATCGCGCCGTCCAAATGGAAGGCTGCTATTACGAGCCCCGGACTCGAACAGTTATAGATGGGCAGTCCAACAAGCCCACGGCTCAGCGAGAATACATTACAGCGCAACGGATTAGAGACTGACAGAGTTGCGCTCTAAAATATTCTACGATGGACATCCACTAACTTGCCCAACCCACGATTCTGCTCCAGCAGAGCGATCTGTTCTTTCTCTTCCGAGATGAGAGAAGCACGCTACGCGCTATAGTGCGCGTCCTGATAGACCTTAATAAAGTCTTTTTGACCCCCTTTCACCCAAGAAGAAATGAAGAAACTCATTAAGACCCACGACCAGACCTCTCAAATCCTGGCCATCCAGAGGGCCCACGCGAAGGCCGCCAGGTTTAACCCCAATGGTCCCCAAGTGGGCGCCAGTTGAAGTTGAGTGTACTAGCGTGTATTGCGTACCTAATAAAGTTATTTCACTCACTCCATCCAATCATTCTCGGCTGTCTTTCGATGCAGCAATACAAATTGTGGTCATTATCCACTCTTATCTTAACGGTGGTACACGAAAGAACTATAGCAAAAGATGAGTTACCAACTTGCTTAGCAGTCTATGTTTCTCATCATCGCCGTCATCACCGCACCAGACACGAAGGAAAAAGAGCGATTCACCGTGGTACGAGCGCCTACATGCATTAACTCACAGAAAGTGTACTTAAGCTTCGTGCCCTGACAACAATGAAAAAGACAGAATGAGCTTAGATGTTTCTAATTCTCACGTCTTCTGAAGACGAGGAGGAAGAACCTTCAACGTCGGCAGCCGCCATCACTCCTTGAAGACGTGTCCGAGAAAGGCGCTGCCGGGGAGACTGCAAATGCAGGTGACGAGTGCACGCACAGACGAGATATTATATGCGCACCTAGCTCAGAGCTGTACTTACGGTGTAGCCGAGCGGCTTGTTCGAGCGTCTTACGGTGCCGACGACGGTTCTTTCTGCGTTCTGTCTCACTGGAACACGGTTCCTTCGCCCTTCTAAAATGGCTATAGGGAGAATCAACGAGCCGGTCGCGCAGCTCGCGCCTTTTCTGCCAAACACACGCGCGTTTAGTGCAGCTTCGTTTCTTCCAGTATTTTTCTTTTTTTTTGCTTTATGTGCGCGACAAAAGAAAAAGAAGGCCATATGTCACGAAGTTCCGAACCCAAGTGTGTAAAGTGGCAGGGAAGGCGAATGAAAATCACCATTTCCCATGCGCACGTTGATGGGTTTTAGCTCGCAAGTTTTCTTCCAGTATCGAACAGCAACGCACAGGGAGTTGGCGAACCTGTGGCTTTATTTTTGCGCGATTACCAGTAGCGTTTTCGAGCACTTTTCACTTTCTAGATTGACAGGGACCTTTATCAATAACTAAGTATAGACCTACTTGTCATGCTGCTTATACGGCTCCTCCCGCGTAACCTGAGCTAATACTTTGAAATGAAAGGGGCAAACCTCGACCTTGAAACCTTTGATGGAAAACTCTTACAGCGCATATATGCGCCACAAAAGTTGGGCGAATTCCACCACTCACCCCACTAGTCCACTGCAGTAGCACAACAGCTTACGCAAACAAAAATGCTGCACCTCTCTGCTGGTTTCAGTCCGTCTCTCTCTCGCAATCAATCTTTTTTTCCTTATTCTTTAATTTCTTATTTATTCCCCTCTCTCGCTTTCTCACTGTAGTCAGTTTGTCCCTTTCCATCTTTTCTTCCGCTTCTTACCTTTCTATATATTTCACTGTCTCCCCATCTGTCTTTCTATCTATTTCTGTCTCTCACCCTCATTTCGCTCCTCGTAACTTTCCCTAATCTTTCCCATCTCCTTTTTGTACAAAAAATATACAAGGCTATGCACTGCACCGCTCATGAAAAAAAAAAAAAAAGGAGAAAGTCCTGAATAGCCAAGCGATTAGAACGCTCTTCTTCGAATCGGGAATACGCGGGTTCGATTCTCGCCTCATGCAAATTTTTGTTCACCAAGAAGTTTTTTTTTTATCTCTCTATGTACTAGTTATCTTGGCCATAATATTATTGCATTGTTTGCAGGACAAAAGATGTATCGATCGTTTGATAAGTGGGGTTTAAACGTCCCAACACCACCATATGATTATGAGAGATGCCGTAATGGAGGGCTCCGGAAATATCACTCCCCTGGGGTTTTTTGACGTGCACCTACACCTAAACATATGGGCCTCGAGTATCTTAGCCTCCATCGAATATGTGGCCGCCGCAGCCGGGATTCGATCTCGTGACTTGCGTGTCAGCGGCCGAGTACCTTAACCACTACACTGCAAAAAATTGCGCGTATTTACGGACAGAAAAGCAGACATGAGTATCCAGGAAATAAACACATTCCTCTCCTTCGCCAACATGAAGAATACAAGCACACGTTTAAGAATCACAGACTTCACCACTTCGCGAATATCATGGATACAGCACACGTTTACCAATAATGTTTCGCTGAATAGTGAAAAAAGTGTCTCCTCCTTCAACAAAAAACTGGACGAAAGTAATTATTTGCAATACAGATAAACTCCAGAAATGTACACTAATATGGCCGTCACATACCATCATTGCATTCATTGCCGCGACGTGTTCTGCACCGCTTTTATTCTACGAAACTGTATAAGTTCCCAAACGGTGGATTATGCAGGCATCCCGGAAAGAGGAACCATCCGACCACGGCAGGCGCACCGCCATCGTCACTCATCCGTCGGCTGCACGGAGAAGGCCGGCTGTCACTACTCTAGTCACTAGCCCGACTATCCTCATTAAAGGGCTGGACTACAGTGTACTAGAATCTGTAGGCAGGACGCACACACGGAACGAGACCGGGCTGGCGTTGCTTTTTTATCCGGTCTGCATCTTGGAGGTGAGTGCCTAACTTCTCATTTACTCGCCGTTTGGGTTACAGCGCGTGCCACTAATGATCTGTGTTGTGTAGTGCCTACGCAATATCTCAGATTAGGCCGTTTCGAGTAAAGTTGAGGCCATAAACGCTGTGCTCCTTCGTCGATGTCGGTTTCGCGCAGCTTGTATCATGCATGCTTTTTATGAGACGGAGTACGTACTGAGAGCAGAAAATACATCATTTACGGAAATCGCCGGTTGACTGTGTTGGTCGTGTTTACATTTCGAGCGTGACATTTTCATTGCGCTCGTATTACTTGTCCACAGCACTTGCATTACTCTATGCATGTTCGAGCTTGTCAACGCCATAGTGGAGCCGTTTAATGTGTGCGCCTCCCTTTATGCTGGCGGCGCCGAAAGACGACGCGATATCTGCCGTGAAATCTTGGCACGCTGCAGCTTACACGCGTGTTCTCATCGTCCGGCCGAAGTTCATCTCCTCAGCGTTGTCTAGGAAAAGGTGGCTGAAGGCAGGTAGCACCGAGGTGCGAACAATCATACAGAACTTTAACTCCAGAAATGTAAAGCGGCATGTGAATTCTTCCAAAAAGCTAGAAAGCATTACTCGTAAAACGCGTTCTAAAAAATAACAAAAAGAGTTTGCTTCGTCTGCCGCGTTGGTATTGTGGTTATAGTGGTCGGCTGCTGACCGCGTGTTCGATGCCGACCGTGGTATATAGTCGCGTTTTGATGGAAGGAAAATGGTAAAGGCCCGTGTATTGTGCAATGTCAGTGCGCGATAAAGATGACCTAACGGTGAAAATTTCGGGAGGCCTCCACCACGGTGTTCTTCATAATGATTCGTGGTTTTGGGACGTCAAACCCCAGGAATTTTATTTTGACATCTGTGAATCCCCAATGCGGTTAGGAACAAATTTTCTGTGTAGAACAATGGTAGGATTTTCAGCATATGAAGAATGTGGTCCATATTGGGGATTTTTTTTCATAGGGAGATAACGTTTACTGAAGTATGATAGTTTGTATTAGCGTTCGTATCAGAGTTTTCTTTCTGTGGGCAAAAATAATTTGACATGTGTACAGTGCCCAATAATTTTTATAGTTGGTGAATAAGTTGCAAAGATATTGGTTTTTGTAAATGTTTGGTTGTAAGTTTAGCATTGAGGTGTTCCTAGTAAAAAATGTGGTGAATATCACGTTTATTTGTAACCTTCATTGGTTACTGTCAGAGAAAGTCATCAAATTGCTTTTTATTTTAAGAGATGAAAACTTTTTTGATGTGATTGCTGGACTCTGTGCTTGCCTGTTTTTATACCATGAAGCAATGCATCTTTGTGGTGAGTACTAGCTGCACAGGCATGAGGAGCATTTAGACAACACATCAATTTCGTCCGTACTTACTTTAATAGTTAGATATCTAGTATACTAGCCTGCATGAGTAAACGACAGATCAAAACCGTACTAGGGTGCATTTAACCACATGCAGCTATCTTCTGACAGTTCGAATAGTGTGCTTATGCAACACTGGTAAGTGACACCAATACATGCAAGAACTTATTACATGTGCGATAAGATTTGGAAGTGGCAAGGACACCACAATTAAGAAAAGGATCTATTGAAATCGGAAAACAAGGATATGTTTTTGTCATGAACCAATACAGCTGTATTAAAGTGATAATGCCTGCTATTAAAGTGACAATGTGACGCTACCTGCTGTTGAATATTTGCAGCAAAGTTTAGACACACGGATGAAAAAAAAAGGATTGAAAAGACACTGCTAACTACTGGCATTTATTAAGGCCTCTGCAGATTATGTGGCTGTTGTTATCTCCAGTTTAGGACTGCTGGTGAAAGATTGGAAAGGTGAAAAAAACATTTAAACCATAGCGGGGCACTTATCATGAAGGTAGTTGACTCTTTTAAGGTGAAGCTTCATTAAAAAGTTGTGTTCTTTCTCTTCAGTTCTGTTAGAAGTTTGCAGGGTGAGAGCTACTTAATATCTTTGATGCCACTTTCACCTTAAAAGGAACAGAGTTGATACCTTTATGTTGTTAATGAAATAGAATCAATTCATTTTTTCACTTGGAAACAAAGTTGATACCTTAATATTGTGACAGAAATAGAATCAATTGTTTTTTTTTTTCAATTGGAAATAAACCTTACAATTTATTTCAACAGAAGCTTTTACATTCACAAAAGGTATGCCTTTTTTGCACACTCTCAAGTCTATGTGCTTCGTTCATTACTAGCTTATAAATAGTAAAATGATTTACATGAGGGGTTGCAACAGTGCCAACTTTTGTCTACTAAATTGGAAAGCTTTTATTCTTTTCAGAGAGAACTGAAATACTACAGGGCAAGTGATTGGCTCCGGTAATTAGTATCAAGATGTTTTTGAAGACCATATACACTTACGTTTATATTTTGTTGCATATATTTCATTTAACACACTCGTTATAAACATGCTGTTTTTTAAGTCCTGTTAGTGTTATATCTGTAATATAATTATTATTCACAGTGCAACAGAGGGCACAGAAATATCTGTGAAAAGTTTTTAAACATTCTCATGGACTAAATCCAAATACAATGCAGTGAATCTCATAATTAGTGGATCTTGAGATTGATTTCATGTGAAAGATTCAATGGCAGGCTTTCTTGGCTGCATATTTTTTTACTCCTTCAGTCAATTGTTACTAAGTTGATATAATTTTTTTGTAAACTTAGAAGCTGTCAGCATATAAAGGCTTACCAGATATGTCAATTGCACTGATGCCTCAGGAGTAGCTGATGGTACAGTATTATGCCTGCACTCACATCTGTGCTTTTAAGAGCACAGACTTCAGGTTTATCAAAATCACGCGTATGCCACAGTGCCATGATGCACATATCATAATTTCTGCCAGGTAAAACAGCGCTTCATTGTAGCTTGTTAAGTCATATATGAGTACATATATATTGTTGATCACATTGTTTTGAAAAAGGATAGTCAAAATTGCAAACACACTCGACATTGCTTCAAAACGATGCCTGATTAGTCTTCTCTGGACCATTGAACCACTAGTGTGGCTATGTACACCACCTGGAATTCCAAGGTACAAATCTAGCCTCAACTGATATTTACTGCATCTTTTCATTGAAAATTTTCACTCATTGTGAAGCTGCTATTATAGGCAACAGATGTACTGTTGTACCGTCTCCTTAATGCTTACTCTGAGATTTCTAAAGTGCTTTCTTGCTGTTCCTGAGTTAGCATAGGCAGTGGATCAGATGTGGGTCATATCCACATCCTACAGACAGTAGTGTGCATGTATGCACACAAGTGACTGATGAAAAAGGTTTGACATCGTGTTAGACAAGCATGGCACAATATTCATGTCACAGGGTCATGACACAGCAGTTACAATGTCACACTATTTATTCTCTTCCAGGTGCTGCTTCTATTGTTCTTGGGCCAGCTGTCACCTCTCATGACAGCGCCACTATGACTGTTCATGCCATAAGCACCTTTGTGACCTGATGTTGCAGGAATTTGTGTCACCGCATCACCAGCAAATTATCAAGCGCCATCATTTTCGCTGCATCCTCCACTGCCAATTCTGGATGGTTCTGCATTCAGTCCAGCAGCATGGAACAGTGACAGATAATCAAGCAGCTCATAAGCACACCCATATCTTCGTTGCATGAGGCTATAGCACTACAGTCAAGATTTTATAATGATTGTTAATGTTCTTCCACGTTAGTGAGTGTGAAACAAACCTGTACCACGTAGATGATGTTCACTTTGTTGTCATTATCTAGTTTTAAATTTGCTTTTGACATCGCACATTCAAAACAGCCTTCGAAAGGTGACCTTCAAGACCTGCAGTTGTAATTTCTGTGTTGAATGTTACACTAGAAACCTCGAGCCCTAGTGAGTGCAAACATTTAGTGCTGGAAACCTAGCAAGAGTATTGTAAACATCGCTGGCACATTGTTACTGTGTTTGACGGCATACCACATGAGTCAGCTAGAGCACAAAGCGTCAAGTTAGCACCCACTGGGGCATCCAAATTTTGGTTCGTTGTTTTATATTACTTCAGTGGGATGAGTGGTGGTGCCATGATGGAATTTGTATAAAAAGTCAGCAACTATACCTTGATTTTGAGAGTGCATGCTTAGGCCACTTTTCAACTAGTAAGATCAGACCCATCATTGCCAACTTGTATAACAATTAGGAAGTTTAATCTGTGATAAGTAGCAGCTTTCCTGTTGCAAGGCAACACCTCTAGCTGAAAGTTCGTAACACCATTTTCAAATATGAGTGCGGCTTTCATAAGACTTTTATTGTGACACTAGACTTGCTGGCCTTCTGACTGCATACATTTGTTACTTGCTATGGGCTCTCATTGATGCAGTGTTTCCACAATTTTCTACAGCTCTTGATAAGGTTTGTCGCTAAATATTCTACTAACACAGCAAAACATTCCTCTGAATTCATTCACTTGGGTTGAAGACTTTCTTTTGTGCAGACCTCTGTTTACATCTGTTAATAATGACAACTTTTCATCTGCTTATGTGACATCTGTTGTATTCCAAGGAAGTGTGCTCAGTGGAGGCCTGTAGCCAGAGGGGTGCCCCAAGAGTTTGTGCCCCCCCTTATTCGCATGTTGTGGGTTGTCCTTCTGAGCATAAGTAATGAAAAAAAATTGCCCGCAGCTTCCCTCGGGGGAACACTGAGGAGGATGCGGAGCATATAATTGGTTAACGGGGTGTTAAAGTGCGACTTACTTGGGTCGATGGCTAAATTGGTTAACGTGGTTGTGCAATGGGGTGTTAAATTGCGACTTACTTGGGTCGATGGCTAAATTGGTTAACGTGGTTGTAGGAGGGGGTGTTAAATGAGTGAACACGTACACACGTATGCGAAAGGGTGGCGCTGGTCGAAGGGACGTCGATCATTGTGTTTGTGGATTCGTTGGAATTCATTTCACCGCGACCTTGGACGTCGACGCGCCGTACAAACCAACCGACGAGCGGCAACTGAGCGAGCGAGCGCCGACCTTGAGTATATATACAGTGTGACGGCGCATGCACTGTCAGCTGTTGAATGTTCTCGAAGCGCGACGCCACATGCGCGTCCACTGGAGAATCAGGAGAATTGTAGATGTCGAACGCGGTGTGTAGAGGAGGAAGGGTGCACAGATGGTGGAGGAGTGAAGCGCGCGCGGTGTGTAGAGGAGGAAGGGATGCACAGATGGTGGAAGAGTGGGCGACGGCGCGACGGCGCATGCGCGCGCGTCAGCTGTCGAATGTTCGAGAAGCGGTGCGGACGGCGCACTACAAGGCGCGAGTATAAGATGCTTCCGCATCTAAAAGTCATTCTTCATGGCCATCAACATGTGCCCCCCCCCCCCCTTCAGAAAACATTCCTGGCTACAGGGCTGTCTTTTTATGAGCTCGTTATTTCTTCTTGCTTATTCTTCATCGTTAGTTTTTACCTCGCATTGTCTGCGTGTGTATGGAATACAGGGGGTTTCAAGAACTGTGTCCTATATTCTTTAAAAATGAGAGAAAGGAGGTACTTGCATGCTTGTTGTGGCATTGTCTTTTTTGTGACAAAAGTAATCTGCAGATAGACACAAACAATAATTGCGGCAGTGATTATAATAATTAAGACAATTACCTTTTTTACCAGTGAAAGTAGCTGGTCGAATCAAGTGGGCAAATTCAAGTCCTTTCTACGAAAAATCTATAGCCACTTTGAAATTTTGGAAGAGCAGCCACTGATAATCGCCGTGGAATGACGCAATCTGCCTAATTTCATTGTCAAAATGAAAACCGATGCACCAGACAGGACATCTACCATTCATTTCAACAACGCCCTCAATGACGACACTGTTTCTCTAGCCGTTATCAACCGTCAATTTAGACAGCTTTGTGCCCGCTTATTGACGCTCACTTAATCTTATCCCCCAATGCAAGATAAACAGTGTGGCCATGGAGGGCATTGTTGAAGTGAATGCTAGATGCACTGTTTGGTGCGCTGGTTTTGGTTTCGCCAGCTAAATTGAGCAGAATGCATCGCTCTGCGGTGATTACCAGTGGCCGCTTTTCCTAAATTTTAAACTGGCTAAGGACTATTTGTAGGAAAGGGTTCAATTCGCCCATTCGACCCGACTGGCTATTAGCACTGGTTAAATAGATAATTGTGTTAATTTCTATAATTGCTACCATAATTAATGTTTGTACCCATCTGAAGATAAGGTAAAAGGTGTTGAACAATTTTTTTCAAGTTTTTGGAATGCACTCGATAAAAGACATTTCTTGAAAGGTAATGTAGTTATCTAACTTTAAAATAATGACTTAATTATGTATTTTGCCACATGATATGCTTGGTTGAGATCCAGGAGTGAAAGAAGACAACGACGATCTGTCTGAGCTGCTGCTTGGCTAGTCGACTCAACCAACCCATTAAAGCAAGTTTGTCTTAAGAAACGTGACAAGACTGGTGGAGGTGCTGGGTACAACGTCTCACGATCCACCCGATGCCCAAGACCCCACCCAGCAGCCGGAACACAAGCCCTGCACCCGTGGACACTCCTGTTCACAGAGTAAGCCGCCGCCAACGAGGCCTATCACCTGAGACACCAACCACTGACGCAGCGACTATGACTTCGACACAAGATTCCGTGCAAGCTCCGACACCTTCCACGCCGATCTACTGCACCGTCCAGAACCCGCTCATGCCTAGCCCCTTTTATGGAGAGCAGCATGAAGATGTTGACGACTGGCTGAGTGAGTTCGAACGTGTCGCAGCAATAAATTACTGGGATGATGCCGCGAAGCTCCGGAAAGTGTACACTTGCTTAAAGGACGGTGCCAAGACGTGGTTTTTGAACAGGGATGATGTTCTGACATCTTGGCGCGAGTTCCAGCGTCGCCTTCTGGAGACCTACAGGAGTCCCGACCGCCGCGAACGGGTGGAGCGTGCACTACAATCGCGCATCCAGATGCCAAACGAGACCGTCTCGATGTACGTTGAGGACATGACACGGCTTTTCAAGCGAGCGGATCCTGCTATGGCAGAAGAAAAAAAGTTGCGCCACCTCATGCGTGGTGTGAAGGAACAACTTTTTGCTGGTTTGGTGCGTAGTCCCCCCAAGAGTGTTGCCGAGTTCCTTACTGAAGCGACAACAATGGAGCAAGTACTGCACCAACGGTCTGCCCTGTTTGACCGTCAAGTGAATGCTGCCTCAACTCCCGAAATTTTCGCCACCCCTGGGAGCAAGAGCCCCGAATGGATTCCCGATATCACCCGATCTGTCGTCCGGGAAGAAATGGAAAAGATGTACGGGACAAGGCAAATCGATGTTGGTTCTATCACCAGTGTCATCCGTGACGAGGTCCAACAGGTGTTGCACGCCCATCGTTTTCCGCCGATGTCGGTTGATCCGGAAACGGCTCCTGTGTATACTGACAGTCGTGGTCGTACGTACGCGGAAGCCTTGCGATCTGCCACGCCTCGTTCTGGTCAAGGAGTCCCGACCCAGCCAGTGCCGCACGTCCCGATCCAGACAGTGCCACACGTCCCGATCCAGACAATGATGCCGTCAGTCGCGATTCAGTCGGCGCACGCTGGTTTGGACATTGATGGTCGCCGTGCACCGATGTGCAAGTCTGATCTCTGGCGTACGCCGGACAGACGACCCCTCTGCTATCATTGCGGCAATACGGTGCCATCATAAATCTTCGCGAGCGCATTGTGACCTTCTCGACTCAAGGCGCAACAGATCGAGACGCTGATAACTGCCATAGACCTGCGCTGCGTGTTGCTGATGACAGTGTGACGCTGCCGCCTCGAGCGACTGTTCCCATCAAAGTCATTTGTGAAGACCTCCGGGACGGTGACGTGGTGGCTGAAAGCAACCTATCACTTCTGCTACTCCAAGGTGTATGTGCCGCCCGAAGTGTTGTGCGTGTCTGTAACGGACAGTCGCAAATACTAGTTACGAACTTCAACTACGAGCACCGGCATCTTTTCCGCGGAACCACCGTAGCCTATGGAGACCCTGTTGCCGACGTCACGGAGTGCTTCTCGTCCGAGGAAACGCATGAGGATGAAGAATTTCTAGACCACATCGACATTAACTCGACGCTGTCAGACAAAAGAAAGGCTGCACTTCATGACCTTTTAAGGGAGTTTCGGTCTTGCTTCGCCTTTTCTTCCAAAGTCCGTCAAACACACCTCGCCAAGCATCGAATTATTACCGACGATGACGTCTGCCCCATCCGGCAGCAGCCTTATCGCGTTTCTTCCAAAGAACGTGCGGCTATTCAGACACAAGTAAAAGAGATGCTCGATGACGGGATTATTCAACCATCCAGCAGCCCTTGGTCCTCGCCAGTCGTTCTAGTGAAGAAAAAAGACGGAACGCTGCGATTTTGTATTGACTACAGGAAGCTTAATAGCATCACGAAAAAAGACGTTTACCCTCTTCCACGGGTCGACGACTCTCTCGACAGATTACGACGCGCGAAGTATTTTTCGTCCATCGATCTAAAGAGTGGCTATTGGCAAATTGAAATGAATGAACGAGACCGAGAAAAAACCGCGTTTGTGACTCCAGACGGCTTTACGAATTCCGTGTTCTTCCCTTTGGCCTCTGTTCTGCCCCAGCTACTTTTCAGAGGATGATGGACACAGTTCTCGCTGGCTTGAAGTGGCAAAGCTGCCTTGTCTACCTCGATGATGTGGTCATCTTTTCCGAGAGCTTTGAAGAACATCTGAAGCGTCTGAGAAAGGTTCTGGACGCCATTCGCACAGCTACACTCACGCTGAAATCCCAAAAATGCCATTTCGGCTACG